GGTTTCTGTCTCCTAATCCGAAGGAGAGGATTCTCCTTCTCGTAGCGTGTACAATCGATTATACAATATCGTCGCGCCTCACGTCGAGCTTCAAAGCAAAAAGGGAAAAGTCACGACCCGTCTGCCGATGCACGAGCCTGTAAGAACTCAGCCGATTATCTAATGTTGTGCCACCATAAGTAAGTACTTATATTCATCGTGAGCAGTGAGGATACCCCAGTGGGTGGGGAAACATCTTAACGAAACCTGATCAACGGAAATTTCACTGAAAGTATGCACGAACGAAAGTGACGAGAATAGAAGGCGACATGATCGATTTCGGTGCCATTTTTTTTCTCATCTTCGCGGAGTTGCGATCGCGACGTCTACAACAGGATGTAATGGCACATAAATCACATGGTTTTACGGTTTGTCACCTGGTAGGCGATGAATACGCCATGTAGTACATAAATAAGCTCGTCACGATGTGTCGTGAAAAAGATTTCAAATTTCCGATGGTTTATGTTTTAACTGGGCCATTTTTTTTTTTTTTTCTCAACCCATCGAAAAAGGATTGATTTATCACATCTGTCTTGAATATACAATTGATACGCGATATTTAATTTTTCGAACTTTCGCAAAATTATAAAATTTAGATGGGAAACGCCTGTGGTTAACAATATTATCAAGCAAATCTTTTGTATTTCTTTTTTTGTGTGAGTGTTGATTCGTCCTTTTAAGTCGAAAGTCTGTAAAGAATTTATTAAATTTTGGAGAAGAATGAAAATAAATATTGGCGTCCTTTTGCAGTTGCAAGTTGAAACATTTCGACCATTAAAGTACGAAAAGTACAAGCTACAGAGAAGTGTATTAGATACAAATCAATTATGCAATTTTATCTTTTTGTTTTCCACTGATCAATAAATCCTCGTTTTCTTGTTCTTACGATAATCGGGTATTATTATCATCAATATTTCACTCTTTTGTATTATAATGACATTAGGATGATTATTCATGGCGCAAAGAAGTAGTACATCTTGAGTACAAGTTTGCATTTGCATCAACAAATTAAATGTCAATGTATGTATATTCTCCTCGTTATTACGACAATTTTATTTCTTCTCTGCAACAAGTTTAAACGTAATTTTAGAATTTGTGGAATAAAAGTTATGTATTTTTAGAGAATGAGCAAGTATATTATCGTATAATAAATGTTTATATTAATTAAATGCAATATAAAAGATAATTAAAAATTATATTATAAAACTTATATATGTACATATATATCTATAAATTATATATATATCTAAAATATTATATATATCTAAAGAATGTTACAATGAATGTTTAAATAATTATAAACTTGTTATGAACAATTCGTATAATAATCTTGCAATGCAACGAATCTTCTACTATTAGATTTATTCTAATTTTTATTTTACTTTGTGAAACTAGTATTCAGAAATAAAGTAGCATGTTGGCACACTCTTGTACCAATTTTAGCCTAAACAATTACACCAGCAGTTTTGTTTCGAGAATGCCAACTTTTTAATATATATACATGCATTACTCAACAACATTTTCTGTGACGATCACCGTCAACCAAAGTATCTTCAATCATGCACTGTCAAAGTGAAAACGAAACATCCCATTGTATTCCATTTTATACCGTTTGGAAATTAAAATTCAATCTGTATGTGTCGTCTGAAGGTGTGACTCAATAACCAACAGATTTCATTATAAATAAATAAAGTATTACGTTATTATTAGTTATTAAATAAATATAAATGGTAGCTTATTTAAGAAGCATCTTTTTTTCTAACATTGTTAACAATAATAATTGCATTACGTTGTTTATTACGTTCTCTTTGCCCAGACCTGTAGTATATGATTCCTTGGAAACATTTTCACAAATGTCCATAGTCAAGATTAATTGTTGCAAACTAATGTGTTGAGAACGTCGAGTACGCGAACGTAACCACATGGGAATCTGACGAAACGAGCCTCTACCTTCGATTACTACACGTTCACCATTCTTCGTAGCTTTCGATCAATTACAAGGATATAAAATCCTAAGGAAGAAGGAAAAAAGAAGAAGAATAGGAAGAAAAGAATCGTGACACAGAAGACATAGATCTTCTCGCGTTCAGAACTCATCTTCTTCTCTTTCCATGTCGTCGTCCTTTTCTTCGACGATGCCCCGTCTCTTTCGAACATTAGCATAAAACCTTATGCCTCCGTCGCTTACGTAATATCCGTTGACTTTCTTTTCGAACTTACACGCGTATCTTCTTTCTCCTATTCGATCCCTATTGCATCTTCTTTTTTCTTTTTGTCGTTGTATTTGGAGAAGTTGGAGAAAAAAACTTAGAAAGAGTTAGGGAAATTGGAAAGATTTTAAAAATTAGAAAACGTTTCAAGCTGGAGATAGGTAAATTTAAAAATTAAATAAGAAGAGAGAAGATTGAAAAATTGCAAGCATCAGAGGATGATAGATTTGAATCGAAACTAGAAACTAGGAAAAAATGGAACTTCGGGAAATCAAAGAAGAAAGAATTTGAAAAGAAATATTAAAGAAATCGGGAAGAGAAAGAATAGAAAATTAGGTGGAAACCAGAGGAATTAGAGGACGAAGGATGCTTTTGTTCTGCTTCTGCATTCCACGCGCTTAGAACGCACAACAAGGTCGACTTGACGTAATCATTCTACACGAGACACGCTTCCTCGCGATCTTTATTTTTAATCCTTGTAGGTTTGAATATATTTGCAAGATTTATACACGAGTATCGTCCGTGAAAACGCGATGTCACCGGAAGATTTCATCAAACGCTTTACGCCACAATTTTTGTGCCGCCGAATGAAAGAATTTCGCAAAGAATTTCGCAAAGAATTTCGACAGATAATTATCCAATTCAGTCCTGCCGTCAGAGAACTGAATTTTCGTCAAAAATTTGGACGTACTGTCAGACTGTATGTACAGCAATAGTTAATTGCTTTAATATAATCGCAATATTTCAATTAAAATTTTATTTGAATTATTTTTACAAAATATTGTTTTGTTATATGTTATATTATTTTATTTATAATCGTTCTCATTTATTAACTATTATTATTGATAACAATATGAATAATTAATTATTAATGGATTTCAATGCGTATGAATTGCGATGGACTATAATTAAGATTAATATGCAATTGATTACATTCGTTATTCGTTAAAAATCAAATTTGAAAACTTTTGTCAAATTGATGATCAACTTTGAAAAATAAAGCATTTAGAGAGAAGAAGTACATCTAGAGATTTCTAATTTCTAATTCATTTGATTTTACTGTATGTAATAAATATTAGAATAAACATTGCATATTGTAATTACAACATTACGCAATACTATTATTTAATATAAACGACGTTTAGTGCTACAAAATCACTTTCCACTCTTCGTTAATAGCAATTGCGAAAGATACATCGCAACGAAAGTATAAAATGGCCATTTTCGACGCAAGCATAATTCGTCTATCGCAATTAACCCTACCGTGTCATTGGTTTGTAAAAAGTCAACGATAAACTCAGACATTATGCTCCTGATCGTCTTTGTTTGTCTCGAGAAGATGTTCGAACGTGACTTTTGCTATATCATCAGGGATTCACCTTTCGGAAGAGATGGATACTAGTTTGCGTGACCTCCGAAATATTATGGCATCGATTGGCGATTAATTTGTAAAAAATGTAAACGACAGCGAGTGGACGAGCATCCACGACAGGCCAAATCCAATTTGGAATTATACTGATACCAAGAATCTCTTCAACTGATTTCGCCAATACATGCTTCCATTAAAAAGAACGTATAATAGATCTAGATTGTTCCCTCATTTCTTTTTTTCTAATCTTTTAATTACACTGACTAAAATATAATTATTGTGAACATTCAAATGATATGTTTCGAGGCACGTTTATCTTTGGAAAAAATGACAAATTCTTTCAGAAATATTTCTACATTGTACGATTTGCTCTTCAATCATTTTATTTTATTCTTTTTCTTTTTAAATAAAAAGAGATCGAAGAATAAACTGGAAAATCGATCGCGACTAAACAAATTTCATTATTGCAACAACCTACAATACTTTCATTCTCTTCTGAATATTCTCACGTTTCCCCAAACCATAATATATTCATAATTTCGTATTCCCCAAACCATAATATATTCATAATTTCGTATTTCCTCTAAAATGATTATCTTCTGCGTATTCAAATTCCCCGAAACGCTGTTACCAAGCCCTATATATGCTGATTGTATAATATCTAGATTGTACAATATCTGGTCATTTCTTTCTTTCTAATCTTTTAATTACACTGATTAAAATATAATTATTGTGAACATACAAATGATATGTTTCGAGGCACGTTTGTCTTTGGAAAAAATGACAAATTCTTTCAGAAATTTGCTCTTCAGTCCTTTAAAAAAAAAAAAACAGAAAGAAATCGAAGAAAAAAACTGGAAAATCGATCGCGATTAAACAAATTTCATTATTGTAACAACTTACAATACTTTCATTCTCTTCTGAATATTCTCACGTTTTCCCAAACCATAATATATTCATAATATTCGTAATATATATTACATATAACGTATTATATAATTATATATTACATATAACGTATTATATATATTATATGTATTCATAATATTCATAATATATTCATAATTTCGTATTTCCTCTAAAATGATTATCTCCTGCGTATTCAACTTCCCCGAAACGCTGATACCAAGCCCTATATATCTTTCGAAGGGATTTTTTGACATCATTGTTTCATCCAAGTTTGGTCAGGCGAGGAATTTACGGTGAAATCCGCGCGCGATTATCGCTGCCGGCTGCTCTTCCTCTTGCCTGGCATTCACCGCCCCTTCCTTTGTCGGTCATCATTTTATCACCGCCAACTCCGACCAATGCCATTCGATGATTTCGACATCTTGGACGAAGAATTTTGGGAGCTGGTTCCTCCTTGGAAGGGGCAAGATTCATTTGGAAATCCGGCTATATAACGGTCCTCTGGATCACGGATCGAAACAGTATCGTAATCTAGCTCATCTCAGGTCAACACCTGTACACACGTCGTCCACGACAATTGAAGAAGTTCAAACGAAACCAAGACAACCAATCATGAAGCTGGTGCGTGTTTTCCCTTCGAGTACTAAACGAGATTCGAATCGTCGAAAGTGTATTATCGTGGTTTCATTCTCGCGATTTCACCTGTCTTCCTTTCGATTGGATAGGATTTCTTCGTACATTACATCCCTTGAAAGAATTCTTAGAACAAGTATTGTATCTGTGTCAAAATTGTCGAAAGTTAAATGACGCATTACGCAACGAATCTGTAAAGTGTTATCGTATTAATAATTGTATTATAAAACAAACACTCTTTTGAAACGAAAGCATTTCGTTTGACTCAATGAATTATTAAAAGTAAATGCTAAATCTCAATTCTGAATGTTAACTCTCAAGGGGGGTAGCAATGACTGTAGCAATTTGTATTTTTGAATTTTACATTGTGATCGAAGATCAAAGTGTGACGAAGATAAAATTAAGTTGAATTAAAAATGTCAAAATTGAGCAATTCAATAGAATTTTTTTAGTAGTTCAATGATGCCAATTAGGGGTTGAAAATTGAAGCGTATCCTAAGACTTCGTTTCAAGCAAACGGTGTAAAATCGCCGATTTAAAGTTTGGAAACAGAAAACTAAGATGGAATTCTTCTGTTTTCTTCGATTGGTGGACTTTTATTCTTGAAATGGGAAACGATCGTAAGAGATCGTCGGTGATCCAACAGTTACGAGCGTGTAATTAACGCGCACGGGATCGTTATGTACCATTAACGATACAACGATACCGCGCAACGATCCAGCAATTACATTTAGTAATTCGTTCTCCTGTTGCCTATTGTTGGCATGCAAATATGTTTGTAGAATTATTTTAACTAAATCGTTGGCAGCGGATGTCTCTCCTTGCGTAACACACGTGCCTCCTTGCCACCGGAAGACAGTGACGAATTGCTCGGAACAATTAAAGAAACAATTATGAAATACGACGAATTACCATAGTGTTTACTAAAGATAGGCAGAATAATCGTGCACTTTGATTGTCGAACGATTAAAAAAAAAAAAAAAGATAATGAGAATAATTGAAAATTTTATAAGTTTACTTCAATCTTGACATAACTATTTCGTACCACGAATCGATTTTTGAAAAGATTTTAAAATAACTTTCACCGTCTTCAATCTTTGCTATATCAATCACCCGTTTTTAATCAACAAGATTCAAAACAAAAACCTTTCGTCTCATCTGTTAATAACAAGCTAATTGACAAGCGTCAATTGATTTTCTTTCTCTTCGTTACAGCTTGTCGCTTTCGCCCTCGTCGTCGTCGCTGCCTCTGCTGCTCCCCAAGGCCACCAGGAGGACGTACTGCTCGTCAAGGAAACACCCTCTGACAATATTGGTGTCGGTCATTATAACTACGGCTACGAACTTTCCAATGGACAAGCTCACCAAGAATCCGCCGAATTACTGAACGCTGGAACCGAAAACGAATCTTTGGCTGTTCGCGGAAGCTTCACCTGGGTTGACCCTCAGACCAACGTGAGATACACTGTCAATTACGTGGCAGACGAGAATGGTTTCCAACCGCAGGGTGATCACATCCCCGCCTGAACCTGTACTCTAGTTTTAAATAAATTTCTGCTCTGAACAATTCCCTGATCTATGTCTCTCCCCCTCTCGTTGTCATCTTTCCTTTCTTTTTCGAGTCGATTAATTCTCTGCGCTTTTCCATTCGGACTACATTCGACACGTGGTTCCTCTTTATTCGAATATGAAACTCTGAATTCTGATTTTTAAATTTTCTTCCATCTGCTATTGGATATAAAGAAGGCCAAACAATAAAACGTCAATAAAAATATGATGATAATTAAGTAAATGTATGTTTTTCTGTAATTATAAAATTACAAAATCGGTAGAATGTATTAGAGAATTATAATGTATGAAATGAACGATATCTAAAGAATACTATATATTATTATGAAAGTTAAGTTATGTTATTGTATCATTAATAATAAATATAGTATTAATTAATAATTAATACTATACATTTTACTATAGTAAAATAACTTAGCAAGTTATGAAGTTATATAATTTAATTTTAAAGGGAAGGTTATCAAATCGATTTATCATTTGCAAATTTCTCAATTTTATTACCTTGGTAATATAATTAATATTCGGATGACTTATTTCTATAAGTTTTATCATATTCTGTCATAAATAATATCCAGACGATTTATTACAAGAAAGTAGCAATTAATTCCAAGAGGAAATTTAAAAAAATACTATTTGCAATATTATTCTTTAATGTCAGTAGTTGCGAAGAGTATAGATTAGATTCTGTTATTTTTCAAACAGTTATAAGCACACATAGCAATATACTTAATACACATCGATATATTAAGTATTTAGAAACATACAGATTTCTCTATTGAAACATTAATTAATTAGATTAATATTTCAATCGTATCAATTTTATCCACATTGATGGATTTCAAAGGAAGGGAGCGAGCAATAAAAGTTAAATTAAAAAGTTAATTGTAATTTGGAAAAAATAAAAATGCGTATAGTAAAATCAAGTAAAGAAAACAGAGTAGGTGTAAAATTGAATAAATTTATGAATCACTTGTTGGAACAAAAAGGAAATATAAAATAGGAATCGGTAAAGGAAGGCGTGTTTTTCTTCAGAACTTCTTCAGAAATTTTTGACCTATTGACCATTACTACGTGCTCGTAGTAATGATTAGTAACGAAGAGATTGCGTACATTTAACACGATGGTGTTGTAATGATACCTGTTGCAAAAATTGGTTAAATTACACGATATTTAGAATCGATTTAGGATTCGACGAAGATGTTTTTTAGAGACCGATTATCCTTGGATTGTACTATCACTTTAAAATTGTTCACATAAAATTAACTGAAGGACGAATCTAACACTGCTTTTCTAATGTAATTTATTCTCTAATTTTTAAAAAACTAATACTAGGAAGGATCGACGTACTTATAAAAACACATAATGCATCCCATTCGTTGTTTTACGTTAAGGATCGTTTCATTCTTAAAGTCATTGCAGTGCTTTTGTTAATGTTCCTTTTAGTATACTTATCTCACGATTAGAATGTCGATAGATATCGATAGATGTTAAGATAGAATATTTTATGCAAAAGATCGAGTTTTTCAATAAAATCTTCAAAATTATATTTTTCATTGAGGGACTTTGTTGTTTGAGATGTAGAATTTCTTTAAAAAAAAGCTAAATTATATATTACGCTAAATTTTTATTATTTTGTCATCGTATTAAAATTAAATAAATCATTAAAGTAAAGCATTTTAAGTAACTCATTTTTGTAACTATAAGATAGTGGTAAAACCTTGATATGTTTATTCCTCAGTGTCGGATTTACGACGACGTTAATTTATCTGACAGAATGACGGAAGAAATCAAAGAAGTTGTGTGGTTCTATCTAAATAAGAAATAACATTTTTTTTTAGCATCATTCAAAATGATATAGTTAGTTGCTAATATCGTCACGGGCATATAAATATATTTAATACTTCTATACTTAACCGATAATTTATTTCAAGTTAATTTTCCAAAGCTTTCAATCAATTTCGGCAAACCGACACACTTTTACAACGAAGGCCAAAAGGAAGGAAAGGTGAAATCGTAACATAGGAAAGGTGAAAGGTGAATGTATCGTAAAATCATGGGGGTTTTAGCAGAAGGAGATCCACTATAAAATTCGAGATGATTCTCGGTATCGACATCAGTCTTCCAAACGAGACAAATCAATACACACATCAACAAAATGAACACCGTAGGTATCACAATTGAGGTTTGCCAGTTTAAGCAATTATAAAAACTGGAGAAGAGATTGAACAGGATGACAATTTTCTAATTTTTGAATTTTATTTCTTCACTTTCAACTATAAATTTCATTATCTATATCGTGCGTATCAATCACAGTGATATAATACCATAAATCAAATAATTAAATATAAATATGTAATTCAAAAATGATTAATTTACCAATTGCGAAACGTAACTGTTTCGTTTAATTTTTCACATATTTTTGCACTTCTATTCGACACTACAATGTGTAAATTTTCAAATCCGATTTCTTTGAAAATAAAATAATGTTATTCTTTCTTTCCCATGTAGAATCGTCCCCGAATCAAGTGGTATAATAGAAATTATAAAATCCCGTGTGTTTTCTAAATTAATATACTTATACTTCTTCTTTCAGATCGTTGTTCTTGCCGCCCTTGTAGCTGTTGCTGTTGCAGCTCCACCGGCAATAGTGCCTCAGCAAATAGTTCTCGTTAAAGAAGTTCCCTCTGACAACGTCGGCCTTGGCGGTTACACTTATGGTTTCCAACTTTCTGATGGACAAGCCAGAGAGGAAACTGCAGAATTAGTCGGGGGTGGAACTGATGACCAATTCTTAAGAGTTCGCGGTAGTTTCAGCTTCGTCGACCCACATACCAATGTTGCATACACTGTGAATTACGTCGCCGATGAGAATGGTTTTCACCCAGAGGGAGAACATCTTCCACGTGTTTAAATTTTACGAATACTCACCATAGCAACACCTTGATTATGCAAAAACCCCGAGCACTTTCGATTGATTCTGTTTGACCATTATGCTCAATATTACATGTGTACCTCGTTTACATCTGCAATAATGTACATTTCTGTATCATAGTTACGTTAATGTTTAATAAATACTACAATTAGTTAGAAGAATTGTTTTCATTCAAAAATTATTACATCTTTATTGCACGTTTCAAGCCTTCTAGTCTATTCCGAATTTCGTAGCACACGAATTTCCCACAAAGCTAATTTCTGGGCTAGTACGAAATTCACTATTCCCGCAAAATGAATTTCATAACCCAAATGAATTTCTCACAGAGATAATTTATCGACATCTCTGAATTTTTCCATCCTTAGAAATGTATTTGTATTATAGTGACTCGATTACAAACGATTAATCAAAAATTTTAAATAGTACTTAGAAATGTTATAGGAGAGAATTTATTGTTTAATTGTTGCAAGTAAATTATTGGAAATATTAGATAATGTTTAAACAATTATAATATTCAGTGATATATATAATATATTATTCACTACAATTAAAAATTCACTTTGAAAGTTTAATCGATGTGCACATGATGAAACTTTTTCCCTGATCAACCTTCAAGTAAAGTCATTGATGCACAACAGGTGATTTATCTTTCTCAATACTTCCAAAAACCCTTTTTCTATTACAGTAATCAATAATTTTAGTTTTTAGGTTTTATTTTACAATTTTATTATTTTATAGCACCCCATTAATTTAAGGCAACAATAAATACTGTAATTTTCTTATATTTTTTTACAAATTGAAACTACATTTGTTGTTCTGCATTTTTAATCATTAACTTTGTACACACTAAATGCTAATTTACATAAAAAATAATTACACGTAATAATTATAAAATTAAGTTGGTCGTCTCTTAAGAATAGTCATGCAAATGAGAAAGTGTTCATGTTCAATTCAATAAAAGATTTTCGGTGTGACGTAACATTCATGTTTTCTGATTTTAATTCCTATTACTAGTGGCGCTGCGGTGTAAAACCTGTCTAAGTTGATATGGTAGGATGTGACATGCAAATGATAAGGAGATCAGGTAAAACATGGGACATAAAAATGTATTGAATATTCGGTCTGTCCTAGTTAGTCAATGATATTAGATTTATTCTGCTCCAAGACAAAATTACGAGAATAATGTAAATCTCTTAAGAGTTATTAAGTTCGTTTCTACATTATCTACAATTACGCTTTTCTGTTTTTCGCTAAACAATATTTGAGCACCATCTTACAAATACAACTTGCAACTACAACCAACATTGTGCACGTTGCACGATTGTAATATTTGACACGTCAAGTTTTGTAGATTTCGAGCGTTGCAATGCGAGTGTTTTTTACGTTTCTGTTTCGTTAGATTTATTAACTGTACCAAACTTCTTAGCCGGGTACAAATTTTCGACGTGATAACAATGCCTATCGCCAGCAGTAATACAACATCAAGTGATAGAATATTCCAATAAATTTTTTAGTCGACGTGTCGATCGAGGTTAGAAACTCTCCGGGCTGGTTATGCGATGTAACTGACTTGAAAAATCAAACAGATATGCCGAAATTTCGTATGCTTCCGCGTACTTCGCGAATCGTGGCATTATGTTCCGCCGCGAACTTCATAAACGCGGCGGATCGAGTTATAATGCCCATAGCGATCGTTCCTATGACCGACGAGTTTAAATGGGATCTGTATTGGCAAGGCTGGATACTTTCTGCCTTTGCCTTTGGTTATTTTACTAGTCAGGTATATATGTATATGTATTAGAGTATTCTGTATCAAAATCTTTATTTGTTCACTTTAATCTAAGGAATTTTTCACACTCTTGTTGTATTTATTTAATTAATTTTTACATTAGATTATTGGTGCAAATACAGCGAGTCGTTTCGGGTGTAAAATGGTATTAATGTTGGCTGTTTTACTGTGGTCTATTAGCACGGTTATAACTCCAATTTTGGCTCAATCAGTTCTGTTACTCATTATTTGTAGGGTGATTTTGGGACTTGGAGAAGGCTTGGGTAAGATTTTGTTAAACAAATAAACAATTCTGTAAAGTACAATGTAATATTTATCACTGTCTCTCGATTAGGTCTACCAGTTATTTTTCACCTGTTTGCACACAGTGTTCCCGTAGAGGAACGATCTAGAGCGTTTGGATATCTCGTAGCCGCTGGCTCTGTTGGACAAGTTGTTGCATCTGTTGTAAGTGTAAATCTTGTATAATGGAAAGCCGATCGTTTAGAAATATTTGTTTAATTATTTTATTTAAAATACAAAATTATTCAAAATACTTACAGTTGTGTCCTCATTTGTCATGGCAAACAGGATTTTATTTATTTGGAACAATTGGTATTGTATGGACACTTTTGTGGCTAATACTGTACCAAGAAACTAATTCCCAAGATGAAATCCCATTATTTGTACCTAAGGTAGTCAATTTTTATTTTGGTATAAATGCATTTAGTTTAGGTATTAATTGATATTTCCCAATTTTAAGGGGACACAGAATAGAAGTTTGCGATGGACTGAATTCATTTCACATTGGCCTTTGTGGGCATTGTATATAGCTCATTTTGCAATGAATTGGAGTAACTATATAATAATGCAATGGTTGCCAACTTACCTTGCCAGAAATCTTTCTGCTAACAAAGAAAGCATTAGTTTAACAGCATTTCCATACATCGTAAATTCTCTTGTTGGCATTGGTATGTATCAGACAATATCTAATAAAAAAATCATGAAAAATTAATAATTGAATATATCTACAGTGGCTGGTCACAGTGCTGACAATCTTATACAAAAGAGATGGCCGATTCTATCTGTAAGAAGATTAATGACAAATATAGGTTTAATTGGTCCTGGTGCATTTCTATTAGCATTCTGTGCTGTGGACAATTTACTTGCTGCAGTAATGTTCGTATTAAAGTTGAATTAATTACAACAACTTTTATCTTAATTTTAGTATGTAATTTGTGATTTTCTTTTATTGCAGTTTTGTGTCAATATCTATGGGACTCTGTGCATGTAATTCTGCGGGCCACCTCAGTAACCATGCAGATATAGCACCAAATCACGCGGGGATCACGTTTGCGGTTTCTAATACTATAGTACGTTCGTCGTATTTTTATTAGCATGATAAATATTTTACAAACAAATTAATAATTTAAACGTATATTTTAGGCAACGATACCGGGTATTCTATGTGGCCCATTAACAGCTGAATTAGTGACCGCGTCACACGGTCGTTGGTTGCCAGTTTTTGTGCTAGCTGCAGCAATTAATTTTACAGGGGCCATTATATACCAAAGTCACAGTTCAGCGCTTCCAGTATTGTGATATGTGCTGAGTAAAATCAAGCTTATAAATATTTACTATCGGAATCAACGAAAAAACGTGATCGACGAAAACTTGTACGGACGTACCTTTTTCAGTCGCCGAATACGACTTTTAATGAAAATTTTATCCATTTATAAGGCACCAGTATGACGTGACCGTTATACATCACACACCGGTTAGTTGAAGAAGACATATCAAAGTACTGGACATGTATGCTATGTAAGAATTTTACATATTTTTTGCGTTCAGTTTGCAGTTTACGTCAACGTGACGCGGATCATATGTTAGAATAGTGCCATAATTTTATGCACACGGTGGAATTGGTTGAAAAACATTCTTACCGATATACTTGTAAAATATATTAGCCTAATTAATTATTCTTTTTCATTTGTATATGTTTTAATAATAGTTAAGAATCTTGTGATATATATTCTAACATATAAATAAATAAATTCTCATTTTTTAATATAGATGATAAATGTATATTGTATAAAACATAAGACTGTACATAAAAGAAAAACAAAGAAATTTAATTTTCACATATTTCAATTTATATATATTTAAAGCACCTTTAATGTAGATAAATATTATAATTAAACAAGCAATGTACTACATTAAAAAATATGTTTTTTATATCGTTGAAAATATCTTTTAGATATTATTCCTACATCTTTTTATTTTGTACTATTTAATTTTTATTATGTAATTGTCGCATTATTTATTATATATAATATTTAAACACAAATGTGAACTCAATTTCAAGACACGTTTTTACTAATATTTTTAATACCTAAAAGTTTTATATAGGTTTTAAGGTTGTATCCTTCTTTAGATATTCTGATTGAAGAACACGCATCAATGCATTTTGTGAATAATTATTACTCAACGCATGAAAACCCATTTCTATAAAAGCATTAGTTTGAGGTATATTTTTAGTATTCGTTTGAATCGATGTATCATAATTTAACATATTATATTTCGTTGAATGATCATCTTCCTTTGATGATACAATTTTTGCAATTTCATCTTTTATTTCTACATTTTCAACTTTAGAGTCCATGCTTGTTTGCACAGAACTTTGCATCCGTGATGAAATTTTTGCAACATCTTCTGTTATTCTTGGCTCTATAATTATTTGTACAGAACTTTTCGTTCTTCCTACATTCTGTGATAGAGGATTTTCTTCAAAATCATGAACAATATCATATATATCAAAAGAATTTAAATTCAGCTTTTTCAGCATGTCTGACACATCCTCCGAATGAATTCCCAATTCTTTAATTTTTGATTCCTCTTTGTTAACAAAATTCTTCTCTGCCTCGTTAATATAATTATGCAAGTACCGTTCAATATCAGAATTAATCTTCTTCAAATTTTTCTGACTATTTGCACTTGTATTTCGCTTATGAACATTTGATGGCGAATTATTCTTGCCATTTTGAGATTGCTTATTGGGAAGAAGCGACTTTCTTTCAATTTTTTTATTGGGTATATGTTCCGACGGAGTTACGTCTGATAAATTAGTTTTCAACACGTTTGATAGTTCGTTCAATGTTTCGTCAACAATTTTGTTGTTATCCTTGGGAAACAGCATACTTTTAACTTTCGACGCCTTTTCCTCGAATGATAAGCGATCTGCAGGATCCAATGCTTTCATCGCACCTCGGTGCAAATATCGATTTGACTTCGGATCCATGTAGGATTTTTGCATTTTATCTATATCCTGCGTCATTTTCTCCAATGAGTCGTACAATTTCCTCGTTCGGGCATTCGCAAAACTTTTACCTTGCGTCCATCCGGTACTTGAACGTAATGTGCGCCAATCCGATTTTATTCTCTCCACTTCTCGATCGATTTCGCTGATAAGTTTTTCTGGAAAATTAATATTTCGACAATTATCACGATTTGAAGATTTATTATTTTACACTTTATATTTATTATTTGTTCAATTCGATTTTATTTATTTTTATTACTCATTGAGAGAACATCGTTGCATAGAAATCTTACGTTTTTCAGCACGAGGTTTAATCAGTCGTTGTTCAACACCTGTTTCTTGCTTTTTTATTGTAGCCAAGCTGGCATTTGTTTTAGGATTGCTCACATTCTCGTGCCTTTCTGAATTTCTTATTGAAGAATCGCTATGTGGATTCAATTTTGGTAATACTGATGCGACATGCGGCCGAGTATTACTGGAATTTTGCTTGCTGTTCGTAGATTTGTAAAATGGTTCTGGAAACACAATAAGAAAAGTTAGTAAGATGTCCAATTCAGGAAGAAAGGACGACGAAATTGTACAACTCTCCATGATTAAGTAAATTTTGTTTAAAATATTTGTGGAAAATATTTGCTCTCTGCGATCGTAAGAAATTCGTAAATTTTGAGGCAATATTAACATTATATTATAACGATCGGTAATGTTATTACAGCGTCATGAGATTCTTAATGGTTAGTGACCGTCGAAAAATGTATAATATTATTTTGTATTAATAAGTTTGAACCTATGTGTCTGTTTACATTTATTTATATATATTTAATACTGTCACTTTCTTACTTTTTATAAATTCATAATTGTTGATTGTTTCTCTATAAAATAGTAAAACTTAGATTTTGTAAGTTTTTAATGGAATTTGTCTTTCGATCATTTATATAAAAAAAAAATAATAGTTTATTGATACAAACTATTATAAATTAAATTTTAAATTAAATATAGGTCATTTTTTGAATGTTTTATGTAAATAATGCTCGAAACTGCTGTTGCAAAGTTATATACCTTCTAATCCAACATTTGGTAGATTTTGAATTTCTCTCGTTTTCGTTGCATTACCAGGAGTCGTTGTTGGATTTCCGAATGGATTAAACTCGTATATAAAATTATGTGTCGCTGTAATCCTTTTTGGAACTCTTCTTGTTTTCTTCGCCACAGTTTCTACGGACTATGGATATTAACAATTTTAAACAAATAAATCAAATATTTATTCAATATATAGAAAAAAATTTATGCATAAATTTATTTAAAGATAATTATATACAGTGATGAATGAAAATATTGATACAAACTAGATTTACTTGTAAAATTTAAAATATAAATTAGTAAAGTTCATAATCTACTATCATTACATAACTATGCAATAAAAGTATAACAATAATAGCGAGTATGTAACAAATCATTTCACTGAAATGTAAAATTTTTATTATTGAAATACAAGTATCAACTCCAAGATCCTTCTGGAATCTATATAAAATCAAAAAATGATATAAAAAGAATCGTATCGTTGAAACAAATATCGAAATCTTTCAATAGTTATCTGAAACTGATACAAACTAGATTTATTTGTAAAATTTAAAATATAAATTAGTAAAGTTTACAATTTACTATCATTACATAACTATACAATAAAAGTATAACAATAATAGCGAGTATGTAACAAATCATTTCACTGAAATGTAAAATTTTTATTATTGAAATACAAGTATCAATTCCAAGATCCTTCTGGAATCTATATAAAATCAAGAAACGATATAAAAAATCATATTGTTGAAACAAATATCGAAATCTTTCAATAGTTAACTGAAACGAAATCGATAACAGAATTATCTGCTTTCAATTCTTATTTTTTACACATTGTATGAAACTTGGGAAAATTCTATTTTTCACAAATCAAAGTAAAAGTTTTCAATCATTGGCTGAACTGTATTGATACTTGTTTCATCACTGTGCATCGAATATCAATCTCAACGTGACATAATCTAACTTTCTTTAACCTCCATCCAGTTATCTTCTCGTCGATCGCGGCATCGGCATTCGCTTGGGTTTTTTCACATTTCGATTTGCACCGACCAACATTCACCTCCGAAGAAGCTTGCCTTTCGTGAGCGAGCGACGCAGTCCTCGGCGATTCTTTTTTGTTAATTTTAATTAGACGAGGCCTGCGAAAAATTCCAGAGGTCAGTCCTTTCCTCCCCAAAAAAACCCATCGCCGGTTTCGTGCAACACCTCATCTTTTCAAAACTTCAACTTCGAATTCGCCCTCGTACTAACGAAACATCACAGATCGTTTCTTTCGCTCAATGCATTCGCTTGATCAGCATTGATCGCAAAGAAGAGCTTAAATTTAATCACTCGTGAAGGAGTTGGTTCTCTGGCTTTTGTTACGTTCATCTGGAAATACTGGAATTTATTACTTGTTGTAGATATTGACGCAAGTGTATTCCTCGATGATTCTCTCTGGTTTCACAAAGTGTTGAAAATTAAACACGACCTTTTTCCCTTTCTTGCAGAAGATCGGCCCAGTGTGAACGCGTTTCCTCTTGGTCGAACTCCAAATCGACTTGCACCAACTTTTACAGTCACTGAAATATGTTAGTTCATTCGTTAAGAATTGTTCTCACCATTTTCCAAATATTTACAACATAATTTATTCTCTTGTATTATATTCCTTTGTGTTTCTAACATTTACAATTTATCATGTACAAATATAATTAATTTTATCATGTACAAATATAATTAATTTTCATTGTAATTAATTATTTTCATCTTATTTATCCACTTGCTTGTTTTTAATATATTTTAAAATGATGTTCGTCTTTTAAGCTTTAAGTTTAATTATCTTCAGCTTGTTTCGTTATCAAGCTACAGATGAGAGTTCTTTTAAATTGATAAAGAGATTATCGTAATTAATTCTAGCAACATTATCTAATATTCATAACCAGTTATAATTTTAATCTTAAATGAACAATTTAAATCCTATATATATATATATAGGATTTAAAGTATAATATATATATATAGAGGAATATTAGATAATGTTGCTAGAATTAATTACGATAATCTCTTTATCAATTTAAAAAAAAATATATATATATTTTTATCAATTTAACTACATATATATATATATATATATATATATATAGAGTGTACAATGGCTATACTATATTGTATTACACGTCCAAATCTAATTATATTAAATTTCATATTAGGATATAGAAGTTTAATATCTTAATAAAAAAAAAGAAGTGTAATATATATAATAATAATTTTTGTTTTACAGAAAGCAGCCTATACTTTGTATACCTGGCTTTATCGATTTTCTGCGGAATCTCTTTGTACTGTATTCCCTGCTCTATGTCTTTAACGAACACTGACAGTCCATTGATCCGCTTAGTTTCGCGATTATAATCCCCCTCGGTTTCAGGATGGAATTGCAGAAACGTGGGAGCGCAATGCAATCTGGAGCAACTTGGAAATCCTTCGGAAATCCACGCCAGTTCCAGAAATACTCTTTCAGCTATATTTTAGAATATAGTCTATTATTTAATTGCCCTTGCGTTCTTAACCTGGTAAAAAGTGTTCAACCAAAAGTGACACGTACGAAAAACAAAATAAAATTATCTTTGTATCGATATGTCGAGGGATGCAACTGTAGCTGATTCTTGAATTAGTATTATAATACTATATAGTGCTATGTAGTACTATAATACTATAAGTACTTGAATTAGTACTATAATACTATAAGTACTTGAATTAGTACTATAATAATACTATATAGTACTATAATATACATATTATACATTATAATATATATATTAATATATATTAATATATAAATATATATATATTAGTTTATTTATATATATTATATTTATAATATTATGTTTGTAAAAGTATACGTAATATTTTTTTTATGAATATAGAATTTACACTAAATCATTTTATATGTACAAAGACACATTTTGTAAATGAAAATTCCCAAATAAATAATTCTAAAAATGTTTCCCTCGAAAAAAAAGAAATCGTAACGTTTTTTATTGCTTTTAATCCTGTTTTCTTTTTTTTTTATCTTGTGCTCACTTAATTAATGAGAATGCGATATTTTTTCACGTAACATCCGGCGTTTGCGATAATACTTCCCGAGATTAACAGTAAAACTACGTGATTTTGATTTCTCTTTGCCACTGCGCCATACTGATAATTAATTATCAGAATATGTTTTATCACGCTGTTGTGGTCCATTACGTTAATATAAGCACCACTTTGCTTAAAGAACGTAACACTATTATGTCGAAATACGTATGTACGTTTAATTACATTTTGTTTTTGATTCAACAGTAGTATTTTGTTACAACATATAATGTAATTTTATTCTATTTTAGTCTATACTATTTTCCTTGATATAAATGTATGTACGTATGTATCCAATATTAAACGAAAATGAATATATTATTATGAGACTATATATAATAATTCTCAATTTATAAATTATAAATAACCTAAATTCAGACATTACACAATTTAATTTGTAAAACGAATGTCGTCTCTTAGCAACGATGCCTAGTAAACTTCGCGACACAACGATGAAGTGTGCTAGAATAAAACGCTAAATTCACATCCGCTTTGCGAACGTTACCAATTTTTGAAATTCAACTAATAGACACATGGCGTTGCGAAATTCACATTAACCTCGAAATTATGATCGCCCGGAGACAAAGCATCTAATCTTTCTTCGTCAATATTTCAATGAATCTTCCGTGGACTCTCCACGATGCGAAACGACAGTTTCACGCGAAACGAAACACTATCCTACGAGGCACAAGCGCTGCAAGAAATTCTAAAGATAAACGAATTAATGAGACTGGTTCACCTGAACGAAGAGTTCCAAGGTGACGAGAAACCTTCGCCGAGGAATTACAAAAGCTCGGAGGATGAAGGTAATTCATCTCCAGATGCACGCGAGATACATTTTCGTGTGACGTCGAGGAACATTTCGTCACCGAAGGGGAGAGACATATCTTCCAGCACAACTTCGAAAAACGCGGAATCTGAGTCCGTCGACTCTTCAGGGAAAGAGAGAACGCCTACTTTAACTAAAAACGATCAATCTGTCAAGGTGGATGAATTGGATGTTCTTCATTCAACGATGAAGGAAAATTGTGCCAGGTCGAATGTAAAGGAAGAAAATCGGAGGAGAGTAAGAGAAGTGGAGGACAGATCGATCGGCGATGCTCTGTTTAGCTGTCCCTTCGAATTAGTGGAGATTTACTCGAATAAGATGGGGAAGAAGAGTGAAAATGATTTAGATTTGGCATTTGACGTAAATCGGCAAACGTGCTCGATGAGAGCTTTCCCAAAGGAGGCTGGCAAACAGTGCCAAATCGAAAAGTGCCAGCTTTCAGCGTCGAAGATAAAGTCGAATAAGTTGAAAGGAGAAACGTGCACGGATAAAGTCGACGAGCATGATGATTTGCAGAAAGAATGTGAAGAAGAAAATTGTCAAAATTGTAGTGAAACTGTCGAGGAAAAATTCGCTCTAAATAATAGCGTAATTAATGAAGATCTTTACACGAAGAGCAACGAAGATTCACAAACGAAGCGTAAAGAAGAGAACGAAGATTTTCAAGAACCGCAACATGTTCTCGAGAATGATACATCAGAAGCTACTGTCGTCAAATTAAACATTCAAGATCGAGAAAATTCTATCATCGACTCGAGACTCGAAAATGAAACGACGCGAATAAATAAGCAACATCCACTGGACGAAAGTTTCGCGTCCACGTCGGAAGGAGCTGGAGCCAATCAGGATGTAAATTTGATAACAATTTTCGAGGCAACCTTGGGGAAACCTTGCGTGGAAAAGGCAGACGAAGAAAATGATTTAAATAAGTGTACAAATGTGAAACAGACGAATCATTCGTCCACCTTCGAGAATAATGTCAAATTACGAGAGTCGTGTGTGAAAAGCGATGTTATCGAAGACGCGCGTTCTTTAGAACGTAGCGAAGGCAACGTGATTTCACGAAATGAGGAGAAGGAAGATGTTCCAACAATTAAAGGACAAACTGACGAACTGAGATCTGCAAATGTCTCGTCGATTCCCCGCTCTTTGAAAAGAGTGGCAAAAAATCACGATTTATTTGTTAAGGAGAAGCCTTCGAAATCCTTAAAATCCAGCGAATCAGTAATTAGCGCAATAATAAGAATTGAAGAAGAAGCTTCCGAGGAGAATCTTCGACGGGACGTTGTATCAATCGACAACCTGAATGCCAGTGAAAATACAGATTGTTCGAAATGTCACAAGCTCGCGAACAAAGTGGAAGAGAACGTTTCATCCACGTTTAAAGAAGAAAACGGTCAGCGTGTCAAAATGAAATGTCAGAGAGTGTGTGGTTTAAACGCTGAAACGCGTGAGATTAACGCGTTTGGCAGCAATTCGTTGAAACGAAAAGCAGAAGGGGCCTTCACGTTTAAAGGAGGACATCGGAATACAGAAACGAAATGTCAGAAAATGAGCGTTGATCCCCGTAAATTAACAATTGATGGCAATTTGTTTGAACAGTGTTCGGTTAATTCGAACGAAAGAAAGCTAACGGAGCACAGTGAGTTTGACGATCTTAAAGATTCGAGAAGTAATTTGTCATCGTCGTTGGAAGACGTTAATCGCCAAGAGGAAGATTTATCGAAAGGAAACAAAATCAACATAATTATCGAGAAACGACAGAGTAAGGGAAATAGTGTTGTTAATAAGGATGTAATTGGCGACAATAAAAATTTGCTGTGCAACAAAGATATTCGATCGTCGGTGATTAAAAATGAGAGGACAGAGGAACGGGATTCTGATGATTTTTACAAGGAAGCCAAGTACGAAACAGCCACGCGAGAATCGAGAAGAATTGGTATTAATTACGAGAGCTTGAACGTGTGTAAAGTGTTGACGAAGATTCACGAGCGATTGACGATCGATTGGCAACGAATGGAACAACTTCGGACGAAATTGCAAATCCCAGTTTCTGCGGAGCTTGCGAATCCGATAATAATGTTGCAGTTACTGGATAAAACTATAGCTAGGTAACGAGTAAAAATTAATTAACAGAAGATCACGAAATGGTGAATAATGATGAAAGACGATTGATTTTTGAATATTAAGATTTTTGGCCAATTTTTGTTAAATTATAAATACACGTAGATGCTCGCAAGTGTAATTAATTCGTATTAATAGTATATAAATTAATGCAAATTATGTTTCGTTTTAACGGATTGATTAACAATATTTAGTTACAAAATTACGAGTAGAGATTTTTATTTTTAAAGTTAATTATATTATATTGTATATAATAGTTAGAGGTGTAGCGAGAACCCGAAAATTTCGAGATTCTCGAATTTATCGGGATTCCCAAAAGAGTTGGGATTTGGGAAAGGATTGGGAACAAGTTTAAATAATTCGTTAAAGCCCACGCCTTCAACTGTATCGAAAGGTCGCAGATCTAGAACCATCATCCGAGCAATTCCTTCTGTTATATCTTTTGCTTTAACAATCTTTCGCGAATGATTTTGTACCAGCGACAAATTTTATATCGATTCAGTTTCTTTTCTAGTACATGTACTTATGTTTGGATGCATATGCTTCGAATGGCGTAATAAACCAGTGGTATTTGCATACTTACAATTTAAAATTCATGGTGACGATGCGTGCGTTCCGCCTTTGTGTCATCTTTTTCTTGAAAATGTTTCTCCAAACAGAGCTTCTCTTTACCTTCTTCCTTTGCACGATGTCTTCCGCACAACTTCCTGCTACCACAACTTTACTCTCACCATCGCTCGACACTTTTTTTTTTAAAGATTTTTAATCTTTATTAAATTCACACAGATTTTGAAATATACGTCCGAACTTCCCGAATTTCTCAGCGATACTGCTCGACAGCGTACATAATATCCAAGTGCTAAGCACGCAGTCACACGTTCGTTTACATCAGGTCGCACGATTCTTAGAATCGGTGTTTCCAATAAATTTAATGGCAGAAGAAATTGAACTGTGTATATATAAATTTTGTAGGCTATTATACAGCACTGCAGAGTAATAATTCGAGAAACGGTTGCCGGGTTCTAGAAATTTTCGGGAAACCCGATTCCTTCGGGAATCTCGAAATTTTCGGGAACCCGACTCGTCCCAACTATCGAGTTCCTGATATTTTCGAGACTCTCGCACACCCCTAATAATAATATAGTATATTATATTATATAGTATATTATATAGTATAGTATAGTATATTATAATATATTATATTATATAGTATATTATATAGTATAGTATAGTATATTATAATATATTATATTATATATTATATTATAGTATAGTATAGTATAGTATAGTATAGTATAGTATATTATATTATCTAGTATAATATATTATATTACATATAATAGTATATTATATTATATTATATTATATAGTATAGTATATTATATTCATCAATTCCACAAGCAAATATATTAATTTATATATATTTTAACAATATTCACATACTGTTCAACGATAGATCTATGTCTTGAATCCTCTACGTTTTGATTTGAAAATTATTTTCAAAAATTCGAGATCATCTTTTTGAAAACTTACGGTGAACAGGTGCAAGAGTTATATCCACCGTTCAAACAACAGCCACGAAACTGAACTGGAGATGGCTAAACTCTTGTCAAAGCATGTTATTGAATTGGTAGAAGTCGTGAAAGTTAACAGAAAATGTTTGGAGGGCCAAGGTTTGAAAATTCGTTACTAAAGAATATAAGAACTTAACGCAATTGAAAAATTAATTAACAACAGTAAAATTTTTATTGTAGAACGACGTGTCAATCAAATGCAATCCGAGTTGGTTCAAGGGCATTATAAAAAAGTACTATTCAATACTACTTAGGCATTATAGACTGTTATATTAAAACTGCTATAAAAGACGACTAACATTTATGATACTGACAAGTGTCGAATAAAATTTACTTTACATTGACAATAGTTTTTGACAGTTATCGGAAAAATGTAAATGCAAATAGATATGTTATTTCAGTGAAAGTCTATAGTGCTTAAGGATGAATGTATGAGAAAAATATCATTTTAAGTACTATTTTCACTTTATTGATCGTTATTTTTAACGAATTTATAGAGGACCGTATTGAATGAAATAATTATCACTTCAAACTACTGGGCGAACGAAGTATTTCGCTTGATCAAAAATATTTCCTGCCTGGTGAAACGCATTGTGGCCGAGAACGAAGAGAAAGAAAATGTTAGAAATTTAAGAAGTTGTAAAACTCAGCGACGTATACCAAACAGTTTCTTTATCAACGATGCCAAGTAATTTTATAGAGAAATAATTGGATGATCGTATCGCAAAAATATTGTACATAAATGAATGCAAGTTTTCTTTATCAATCTGATTTCTGATTGATAAAGATACAGAATTGTAGATGAGAAAAAAAATTTTGAACTGGGATACTATATTATATGCTTTATCATGTTAGCGATAGTGATCTGTTCTATGGTATACTTCACCGATTTAATTAAACAGAAATGTCACGTAAAAATCATATTGTTTCTGTTATATATATATATTTATATATATTTCGTTTAATATTATCATAAATTTCATTTATAACTTCGCGCAGAATAATACTGGGTTAAATTAACCACTTGCGCTGATTGCGGACCATAACGAGTGACCAAACCGTATACAATAATTCGTCGCTTTCTCTTTAAACTCGTCGGTATGACATCACTGGATTGAAATTATTGAGAAGTAATAAATTTATTATTTGCTTTGCCTATTTTGTTTTACTTGAATATATTTAAAATTGAGAAAATATTACAATTTTAGGACCAAAAAATCCTCGTCATTCCAGCGCAAGAGGTTAATAAATATTCGCGCAGAGAAAAACAATTAAATTATAATTAACGTACATTTCAGACAGAAAGTTGGGATCGTTCGATCGAAAAATACAAAGTCAGTGCTTGTGAAGAAGGAAAGTACCGTCGAGACTCAAATGTCGGCTGATTCGAACGCCACGAAAGTCTTAAACTCTGCGAGGTACACGGAAAAGGAGAAGCGTCTGGACGACGTTACAGATAAAAGAACAGCCGACAATTGTCATCATCTAGAAAGAGTGAAACCGGCGAAGAGAATAATGTACACGAGTTCCAATCAATCGAAACAAACGATGTCTCGCCAGAAATACCGTGCTTCCAGTAATCAACCGGTTTGGAGGCCAGGAGGCGCAGCGAAAATCCCTACTTTTAACAGCGTGACGACCTTGGTCCAAAAAACTCGCCCAGCGGCGCATAACAGAGAAAGGACGAATCTCGAAAACGCAAGGTGCGGAAAATATTCATTGCAATGCAATGGAATTGGTTAGATCATTTTTGTTTCTAGACACGAGTTTCAAATGATCTTCGTGATATATTTAAATTCCATTGGTAACAATAATTAGATAGATTTTTATAGCTTTAAACGGTCACGCGTTAATTTAGCATCTCAGAAAATAAGTAATTAATATTACTAATAATACACTACTTCAAATTTAGTAATTTATAAAATTTGCTTGCACAGAAATCACTACTGTATGTTCATAGTTTCTCCGAAGAATTCAAGATATAGTTTTGTAATTTAATCTCGGAATTCTTTATAACTTTTTGACCTTATTTTTATCGATTTTATGTACTTTCTTGTCGATGAAACAGTCTAGTTATAGTGCCATAATAAATGTACGTAACGACGAGAAGACATTTTTAACGAGTAATAACTGACCTCCTCATTTTTATCAACATTAGCTTCTCTAACGTGTTTTATCAATACACGAGCGTTAACGAAAATTATTCATTTAGAGAGGAGAAGCATGAACGAACGGCGAGCGAATTTAAGAAGAAGCCTACCACGGAGGTACACTCGTGCAGAGATGACCCCAAATTGAACGTTGACAATTCCAAGGTCGCAGGCGAACGAAGCGACGTAAGCTTGACCATCAGTCCCAGAGCGAAACCGAGATCGAGAATATCGCGGCCACTGTCGAAGAATTTCAACGAATCGGAGAGACCTTTCACATGCGTGAAGAACTACGCTCGCGACACGTTTCACGAGAAAGTCACGATCGAGTCGAAAGCTCTACGAGCGCTCGAGGAGATGATAAAAACCGCAGAGAACAACGAGGTGAAAAATGTTGGAAACGCGACGCGCTGTTCGTTTCAGAATCGGCTTGCAAACGAAACGTGTCCTGCTGATCCGAGAAAGACAGGCGAGTCAACTGCAGTTGACGAAGAGATGAAAGTGAACGATGAGGAGCCAACGAGGGACATCGATTCCGAGCAATGCAAAAAGAGTCAATTGAACGAAAGATTTCAGGGAAATCTTCCAGAAAAGGGAGAGCATTCTTTGATACCGATCGCGCCGAATAGTTTGACGCCAGTTCCAAGCACTGAGAAAGACACTGAAAACGTTGGAACGAATGAAAATTTCAGACACATCCCGTCAGAGGATTTAATTAAACCAAATGTCTCTTTGGAAGCTGCTACGAGTTGCAGAATTTTGGATTTTAATACAATGTCAGTCGAGACTGACGAAGTAGAAGCTTGGCGATCATCTGAATGCAAAGATGAGAAATCCAATGAAATGAAGGATTCTTCTTTCCCTGGTGACAATGAGAAACAACAAAGGTACGACAATCTGTCGATCGTTAAACCAGAGAAGGCAAGAATGAATTCTCACGGAGTATCGTTGAGTATGTTGAAGAGATTTCTTTACGATCAGGGTATCGACGTTGATCTGGTGAGCAAAGCCGAAAGATATCTAAAGGACAAGCGGAAAGCACGTAAAGGCTTGAGAAAGAAGTCCATCAGCATCGCCGACGTGTCTTCTTGCGTGGGACACGATCGACGTTTCGAGAAAAAGACGGTTCTGAGAAAGGAGCATTCCTGGGCAGAGGAATTGGAAAAAGACATAAAGAAATATGTTAAAAAAAGAGACGATAGAAAATGGATTGAAAATGATGTTGAGAAAAATATTGACAAGTATACTGGAAACGATACGAAAGCAGATGTCGAGAGGTCTAGAGGTGAGATCCCATTTGTAAAAACGAGAGACGTGACAACTTGCACAATTAAGAACAGTAACGACGCTTGCACTCAGACAGTTCCCTGTCGTACGGCATCCAAGTGTTCGCAGACTGTTTTCAAGAACGATGGCTCAACTACAGAGGAGACGCAAACGATAGCGAAACGAAGAAACGCGTGCACGATGACGGAGTCGCTCCCCATTGGCGACAATTCCGCAGAAACGGCAAAAATCTGTTGCGAGTCTGCGATCACTGAACGACTCGGCGACGATTCCAGAAATATTTCTACAGGCATTAAAAGATGGATGATAATCAGCGAGAACGAGAGCGAAGATTCAAAATTGAAAATTCGAAGAGATCCAAAGGGTTCAGAACCGCGTGGACGTTTTCGCGAAGATTCCACGAACAAAATTGACAAAACTTCGTCGAGAGAGTGTTCCCTAGTGTTTCAAACATTATTGCGCCAAACGGAGGAAGAGCACGAGGAGTCGAATTCGTCCACGACGCGGAGGAGTTCGTCCTCCGAATCGTCGAAGAGACACGATCTCGATGAGAATGCAAGCGAAGAGGAGGATCGTTCGCCCGTTAGAATAGTTTCCAGCGGGATCGTAGCCGCTGTTCAAGTAGCCGCCATCAGAGCTCGGAACGTGTACAGAGCCTTCGACATCCACAAACGGATATTAAGAAGCAACCGGAAGAAACTGAGGAGAGAGTCGAGGCAGAGAATGAAGCTTCGCGAAGAAGAACACGCGTCGAGAGGCGTTAATTTTGAAAAGCGAGCCGCTCGAAGAGGGAACGACAGTAAAATGACGATCGTCGAAGTGTTGAAGAACCTCGAACGAGCGGAAATCACGTCACGGAAAGAATTTTTCGACGATTCTCGCAACGAATCTGATCACTTCGAGGACGATCTTGATCTCGTGGATACTCCGTCGACGAGTGCTTCCTCCAGTCGGATTAGTTTCAAATCGATCGACTTGGACATACCGAGAAGATCGTCCAGCAGCGTGGTTTTGAGAAACGTGAGGTCCTTGATGGATCTTTTGCTGAGCGAGACCGACGACGTGACGTTGGAAAGGATCGAGCGTCGCGTCGCGAAACGATCGAGCACGCGCGAGACGAAATTTTCTGGTACTGTGAGAATGGAAGTCGCGAACGTGAACGGATTTCTATTCTTCTCCAGGGAGAATTTATTGCTGCTGGTGTATGGTATGCTGTGCTCCGTCGTTTTCTGGTGTTTGAACTTCACGATCACCTGCGACGTTGCCTTATGACTCGTGACATCCTTGTGCGTTTCATACTGTTTTTCCTTCCTGTTCGTGTTTGTACGTGTTGCGTTGTTGGGTTTCTTCTCTTTGTACTCTGAGTTTAGTTTTAAACGTGTACAACGTGTTCTTGATATTCGCGAGGGATTTGCACTTTGTATGTTTAGTGTACCGTGTAAATTTGAGTAAAATGATTTTATTAATCAATGAAGAGAGTTGGATTAAATGTACATTTAAGTGGACAGCTGTTCAACTTTGTATGCCAATTAAGTCCATTGGGATTAAACATATATTCTGCATATTACATTCTTCAATAATAGAAAAGATATTTTTAAACATGTAATTACTTTTAAAGTAATTTACTTTAATTATCAAGTAATATATGAAATAGAAAATCAATGATAATAATTTATTCGTTTTTTTTCACGCGATCTTTGAATGGTAATAAAAACTTTTTCGTATGATAAAATGCGTGAAAAATTAATTGAAGAAAATGTCAAAAATTAAATTAATATAACATTATAATATATAATGTTATATTAAAAAATAAAAATTGAAGAAATAAACATTTATTAATATGTATTATCAAATATACAAAACGATAAAATTCCTTGCACGCGACAGTTCGCATAACACACACGTCGAACAATGATTCATTTTCGAAAGGCAATATTAAAGAAACAAATAGCATCATCAAGAAATGAATAATGAAGTATCTAATAATACTCTTCTTTTCTTGTGTCAAATATTATAAAATTTGACAGATCGATAAGTATGTCTAATCTTCTGTGACTGACTGTACAATCAACATGCACGTCTTAATATAGATTCACGTTATTTCCTTCGGATTACATAATCTCTTTCATGCGGTCTCAAGAGAGTTGTCTGAAAACCGGCTACGCAACTCGCATACCTCTTCATTCCAACAACGTATCTCCGAGTCATGTATTTTTATAGTCATCACCATACAATAATCAACCAGAGAAGGATTACTGCACGTGTCTTAAATCACGATAACAAACCTTAGACTATCGAATTCCATGTGAATTCGAATTTTTATAGACGTGAAAAAATATAAATCTCGTCGTAAAAGAATTAACGAGCCTTCTATTTTAGGTATTTTGAGGTAATATCTTCGCAAGCAATCATACATTTTTACGAAACGTTTAGTTCATGAATAAATTATCTGCAGAATTTTAATATAGTACTGAAATGATTCTTTTTTCCACAAAATAGTATTTGTGAAATATGAAATATTTTTCAATTTAAATATTTGTTATATTATTTTTCAATTTAAATATTTATTTAAATACTTTCTAGTATTTACTGTTTCTCGGATAATATTAAATAACTATAAAACTTGATATCAAAAATATTATTATATATACTATTATATATATTTTTCGTTATCTGGAATTTAAGACAATTTTTACGTGACTTGATAATTTTTAAAAGACTCGAGACTTTCTAAAAAAAAAGCTTGCAAACCGTATCTAAAAGTAATCATATACTCCTCGGTAATAATAATAAATTTTCTAAAAAAATATATATATATGTATGTATGTATGTATATATAAACAACCACGATAAAGATCTAGTAATAAGTCGATGAACCATATTTTGTGAATTAATACGTTATTTTCATAATAACGTTTACACGTTATTTTCATAATAAGGATGGGGAAAGTTTGATTTGGTTTGGGATTTTATTCCTCCTCGTCAAGAACCTCAATGGCAGCGCTTCCTGTCACATCGACTAACTCTTTAGAGGTAAAAGTGGCAATGATCTTCTGCGAGCCAGCCTTTTGGGGGATCAATTGGTGTTCTACGTAGATATCTTCCTCAGGATCGATGTCTCGGAACGCTAGAGTTTTGTTTCTTGTTAGTCCTGGACCAGCGTAATTGAATTTACACTCTGTTAATACTTTCTTCAAGGGATTCTTGAATCTGAGGCTGATTGTCGATGGTCTTCCTACTACAGGCTCGCCGTCGATCTGACATTAATTAATTAATTTATTCAACTTACGTGTTTATGTGAAATTTGAATGATGTATAAATAAATGAAACATTTTACAGACGAAGCATGCTTAAGCTTAATTTCTTCAACAGTATTCACAGAAATATGTTTCGCATAAAAACGTGTATCATTGTACGTAATATTTTGTTAATTTAATTTCTCTGCTACTTCAATTGAATTTAATTTTATTGTTTAGGGTTGGAGTTACATTTTAATTTTTTTATCTAATTTCTCAGGAGGAAACATGAAACATAAAATAAAATTCAATACACTAAATTAATAGTGATCTAACGTAAATCACTGTTATATGTAACTGTTATATAATAAATTACTGTATCATATGTAATCCAATCATATTATTTAAGGATGAAACATTCAGTTTTAATAGCACGAGAATTTTAGACGAATTTTTAATAATTTTAATAAAACCAAATAGTATATAATTTTAATAAAATAAAAACTTAATAGTATAATAATTTTAATAAAACTTTAAAATAAAATAATTTAAAATAAAAATTTAATAGTATAATAATTTTAATAAAACTTTAAAATAAAATAGTTTTAATAATTTAAATAATTTTAAAAATTTAACAGTATAATAAAACTTTGAAATAAAATAATTTAAAATAAAAATTTAATAGTATAATAAAACTTTGAAATAAAATAATTTAAAATAAAAATTTAATAGTATAATAAAACTTTAAAATAAAATAATTTAAAATAAAAATTTAATAGTATAATAATTTTAATAGTAATAATTTTAATAGTATAATAATTTTAATTTTAATAGTATAATTATTTTAATAAGAATTTAATAAAATAAAAATTTAATAATATAATAATTTTAATAAAACCAAATAGTATATTACCTTGACCGTGATGTTCGGTTTCAAGACTTGAAAATCATCCTCCTCGGCCCATGTCTGTTTGGTTTCCACGACCGTGGCAATGGAATACAATTTCATGTTACAATACTCCACGAGCTTGTCCAAATAATCATCCACCGTGACCCTGAGCCTCAACTGCTCGGCTAGAGAAGAGAAATCAGACACGACACCGAAATCGTACGTTGTCATCGTGAAAATATAACAGCCGCGATCTGAATTCCAACGATCCGGCGAAGACTAGAGATCAAACGGAGGTTCGGCAAAAAATCCAATTTGAAAAGAAGCAAAAAGAAAACAGTAAACTCACTGGCTTGCGGTCTAAGAACAAAGTCACCAGACGCTCTCTTCACCAGATGCGCCTTGATTCCCGTATAGTACACGCTGCCAGCAGATAGAACAGCTTGAATGGTCCGTATCTCGTTCGACTTGTTCTTCATGTTCACTATAACAGCAAACGGTTGCCCGATGTTCACACGATCGATGTCCACGAGATCGAACTCGACATCTTCCTTCGCGGATGAGGGCAACGAGTAGAATCTCTTTGCCAGTTCGGTATTGCGCACCGCTCTGTACAATGTCAGTCGTTCGACCTCCGTTCCTAAATGAAGAATGAAACATGTTAATATTGAAATTACTACCGAATGTCAAAAAAAAGAACGATAAGAGTGATCTTTTGGAGGAAAATTTTTTGTAGATGTGTATGGAATTATTTTGTTCCATGCATGTCGTTAAGAAAGTAATGTTTCTCAAATTCTCCGTTACACCGTGACGTGACATCTTGCGTATGAAAAGTTTTACACAAAGGCAAGGTATTTAAATATCGATGAGCGTTTAATAGATTCGTATTTACCTTCCTTGGCTTTGTAAATGGATGTTATGTCCTCTCTGTCTCTGTCGCCGTTTGGATCGAAAATCCAAGGTGCTTTCGTCAAAATCATTCGACCAATGCTGCGAGACATAGGGTAAAGTAATCGTTAAGATTTTCGTTAAAATAAAAAAAGAGAGGAACGTGTAGAAGAAGAACTGTGAATGAATTTTTGTATCTCCAGAATTATAAATGATCCATGATAATTAACAGAAACGAAACTTTCATCTAGTTTTTAGAATTTACTTTTTACCAGTGCTAGAGTAAATATGTGATTAATTAAATTCAAAGTTATAGACAGCACAAAATTCTGTCTTCAACTTTAAACGCCCTCAACATTACAAAAATAAAGGTTCCTCTTCGAAAAATAGTACCTCATACAAATTTATAAACAGAATGATAAATGTTACAAACATTATTTTATCGAATTATAATTTTATTAATATTATTAAAGTATTAAATAATTTATAAATAATAATAATTAATATTTAATAATATTAATATTATTAGTATTTAATATTAATATTAATATTATTAGTATTTAATTTATAAATAATAATAATTAATATTTAATAATATTAATATTATTATATTATTATTAAAACAAAATTTAATTACGATATTAAATAAACAATATTAAATATTGTTAAATTACAGAACAATAAAATTAAAAAAAACTATTTGACACAGTCTCTTAAAACTTGGTTAGATAAAAACCCCTAAGGGGTTAATTAAGTATTCTAATAATTAAATTTCTTCGTCTGAATTTCCCGTCAAAATACTACTAAAGAAAAATCTACTTGTAGAAGATTAAAAAGTAGTTAAGAATAGTAACGAAGAAAATATGTAATTCGTAGACTAATAAAATATGCTAAAAATGCGGTTGTGTGATATCAATTATTTTGTTAAGTTATACGTACTACACTACAGTGTCTTATGTAAACTGATAATATACGATAATTGCGTTCTTTTCGATGACATCAAGGCCAAAATTACCAATTACAATTACGGATTTTAACACGCAGGTGATTCAAAACAAAAATAATTGTTAAGCACAGTAGGATGTTTATGTTGTAATTAACGATTCCGACGACAGTAATAATACGTCTGTCGATATGCTAATTCTCTTTTTATCGGGAATCTTTGTACCTCTGAATACAGAAGGAACATAGAAGATTTACATTTCACGTTGTTTACAAATTATATGCCAAAGTTATCGTTATACATTTATTTTAAAATTAAACGACTGCTGCTTCATATTCTTCGGAATTTCGAAAAATATTGCTCATCACGATACTAAAGGTAATCAAACGTTGTTTGCCTTCTGAAGTACTTATAAAATTCCTTTGAAACCAACAGATCATTTCAATTTCAATCGAATATCCCTCTCAAACTTTTCTGTTTTAATCGACATATATTTGATAATGATATTTCGTCTTCTTGTAACTATTTTAATTTTTAAAGCAATGCTAATAACAAATCGATACTACATCATGCGACTGTGCACGTATACGTATCATATTATTCTCCAGTTCAAAATTTCAAAAATCTTGAACGAAATCTTTCCTCTGCAAACGACAGTACAGAGAGACAACAGGCATACTCACTGATACTTGTTGCAATCAATCTTCCTGTAGCCGAGCTCGCTGTCAGGATCCTCCATCCACCTCATCAGATCAGCATTTACCGATGCCAGCATGAACGTCACGTCGTAGTTGTATCCAACGACGCCTTGCTTAATCGCCTCGACCGAAGCTGGCCCGCATTGATAAACACCGTCCGAAGTTTCCTGCGGCGTGGAGTCGATCGCTTGCCAACCACCGTAACCCTTTGGCAAATCCGGCCTGGCCATCCACACGTCGTTCCAAACGTGATAGTTCCAGATCGAGTCCTCGCCGTCGAGATTGTTCGGATCGTAATCGAGTTCCTCGTTGTTTCTGCTGTAGTAACGATCGACGGAGAGCGAGGCGTTCGCGTCGTGGGCCGACACTAAATTAGAGACAACCCGAGACGGTATGCCAAGGGCGCGACACACGGTGGTGACGACACCGGCGAACACCCAACATTGACCGTAGTTCACGGACTCGCCGGTTTCTACGAACTCCTCGAGGATCGGTACACTTCCGGTCCACGCGGCTGGGGCTGTGCCGTCGGCGTAGTCGCCGTCCCAGCGACCGACGATCACTCCCCTGTCGTCGTTCGAGTTCACCTGCGGTGAAACATCTTCTTTATAATAAAAAGAAAAAAGAAAGAGATCAACAGATTCTTTTCTATTTTTAAAAATTAAAGTTTTACTTTTACTATGGTATGGATAGATTTCAGATTCTGAGAAATCTTTATGGACAGATTGTAGATTCATCGAAATTTGTAAAGTTGGTTTAGACTTTCAGAGGTTGGTGATTTAGACTTTAGATTGTTGGAGTTCGACATTTCAGATTTCTTCTTTAGAATAAAAAAAAAAAAGAAAGAAATCAACAGATTCCTTTTTTTTTAAATTAAAGTTCTACTTTTACTAGGTGTGGATAGATCTCAGATTCTCCGAAATCTTTATGGATAGATTTTAGATTCATCGAAATTTGCAAAGTTGGTTTAGACTTTCAGAGGTTGGTGACTTAGACTTTAGATTGTTGGAATTCGACATTTCAGATTTCTTCTTTAGAATAAAAAAAAAAAAAAAAAGGAAGAAATCAACAGATTTTTTTTTTATT